AAACAAAAGCTAACAAAGGTACCACATGGCAGGCTGGAAGCCTCAGCTGCGGCCCACAGCGGCTGGTCTAGCGTGCGGAAAGGCGGAGCCCAGGCGGGAATGGAGGGGAGGCTCCCTACATGCCGAAAGCCAACCTATTTATAGGCGGACCAACAGCACCACAAATTAACGTAATTAAATGACCAAAAAGAAATTATTCAAAGTCCAAAATATATTTACAAAAAGTCATTTAATCAAGGTCTAACAAAACAAAAAAAAAGAAAGAAAAATCATAATGTGCCCGAAGCACATAACAGGGTTAAACAGTTGTCCAACCGGGTGACCCGTAAGCTCTTCAGTTCGTCAAACCACAAAAAAAGCTCATAAACCGGCGACCTGCCAGAACCGCACATGGTAAAAAGCTAAGGCGGGATCCAAACGAATGCTCTAAGAACTACAGGGGGATTCAAACTCCGCTCATTCATTTTTAGCTTACAGAAAAAGCACCAGGCTGCCAAATAAACAAAAGTAAACTGATCAATGTAGCATTTAGGCTTTGGCGTTCCCAACCCTCCATCTGTGTGCTACATATATCTTGTATGTAGCGCACAGATGTGAGCTATGTACATGAGGTTTTGACACAAAAGATTTTTTTTTCTCTGCGATTTTAAAGAGGGTTAGATAATAATAAAAAACAAATCCAAAAATTAATCTTTTCTTTTTTTTAAAGGAAAATCTCAAGGTCCGCACAATGCGTACAGCCATACAACAGCGGGCGCCCTGTGCTCACCTATTTATCGCAAGTGCAAAATGCGCACAATAATGTCGAAGATGGATAGATATGACAAAAATCACGACTGGTCAAATATTTGGAAGAGTATTAACGTATAATAATAAAATAGATGTGAAATATCCTCCAGCAATGCCAATTTAGAGTCTAATTATAATGCCAATTATTAGACAAACTAATAATTCCAGTGCATCATGACGTTACGGCACAGCACCGCTATCTGGATGCTCTGGGTCTGAAGCCAAAAGGTGCAGATTATGTTTTCTGTTCCACAAAGTGGAGGGGCCAATGGCCCTCTGCCCCCCCTCTCCTCTCCCCCCGTTCCAGCGCCTATGAATCTATGTCAACGATGTGATGGCGACTACAGCATCGTGAGTGACAAGGAGACCACACAGTCATCAATTGAAACCGTTTTCTGGCAGTTTGTTCTAGATTTGTGGTGAATGCTGCTTCTCCATGTTTGGTTCTGGTTCTGGTGATGCAGAGCAGACCAGAACCAGAAGACCTGAGAGGTCTGGAAAGTTGAAACAACAACAGTAGATCTTTAATGTGGCGCAAAGACTTTCAGTGATTTATAAACTAACAGTATTTTAAAGTCTGTTCTCTGAGCTACATGGAGCCAGTGTGAGAGCATTGAAACAGAGGTGATGTGCTCTTTCTTAATGGTTTTAGTGAGAACGTGAGCTGCAGCGCTTTGGATCAGCTGAAGCTGGAGGATTGATTTTCTTAGGTAGACCCGTGAGAATCATGCGACTAAAGATAGAAGCATGGAAAGGAAGTTGACGTCTAATAATTGTCCCTTCACCAGATTTTCCCACCTGAGGTGTGATTCCATGCAGCTCCTTTAGAATTAACCACATTTTGGTGTGTTTGAAGTTTTGCTATTGTCTCTCCATTTTCAGATGGACTGTGCAGTGCTGCAGGATGTCAGATAATAATTGCTTGGGATGTTTTATAAATCAGCTTTCTAAAACTGCTTGAAACTTTTCCATAGCCACTACCCAGACCTGCCTTATGTTTCTGGAGTTTCTGACACAGTTTGTTCACTAATGTTCTGTCACAACCCCACAGAGTTCTCGGTATTTATAATGAGATTAAATTACACAGTGGTGTAGGTCACTTTTAAAGGCAATTGGTGGCGCTAGAGTTTATTTAGCATATCAGCGTAAGGGGTATTTTTCAGTTCTTTGTTTGTGAAAAGCTACATCTGTCCCTTCCAGTTCAAACATCTAATAGTTCATTTAGCTCAGAAAAAAAAGAAAATACATTGAAGTTTGTGGTTGTAAAAAAGATAACTTTAATAGGCATTGTTTAGTCTGCAAGGCACTGTGATTAGAAAATAGATCAGATTATGACAGAGTGTCTACATATGTCAGAGACAAAGTAACATCTGCTCTCTAACAATAAATTAGTTGAACCAAATTTATTGAATTGCTTCAATTGGGAACAAGTAATTCAATTAAGTTAATCCGATATAATTTATTAAGTTTAACCAACTCAATTTACTAATTTTATCCAACTCAGTATGTTATAATCGTCCAACTCAGATCTGTAAAAAAAAAAATATATATATACCAATGTTAAAACTGGACTCCCAATCAGAGCGTTTACATTCTGAAGAGAAAGGTCAGCTCTTTTCTCTTAAATTAGGAAACAATATTGCAGCAGATTTATTACAACTTTAAACAGGATTGTCCCTATTCCAAAGAAAATACTGCAAAATAGACACTCATCAAACCTCCAGTTATTTAATTGTTAGCATAATGGTGATGATGAGCGCTGTGTCGATGTACTCTGACATGGGTCCATAGCTTAGAGAATGGGGAAGGTCACAGCTTGTTGCCGACTAAACAGCAAAACCGTTCAGCGAACGAAAACAACAACAAAATGAAGTTGTTACTACCTGTCTGTACTACTTCCCATACAGGCTTTGTTTCATTAGATCAGTGAGCTTAAATCAAACCTGTTTATTTCAATAGAACCATGTACAGTTGGAAAGACCTTGAATTTCAGTATAAAAGGAATTAATGGAAATTTTTACTAAACAGTCAAACATGAGCTTTGTCCTCGGCACTACCTAACATTTTGGCCTGCATGTGTTAGCCAGACACTAACATTGGTGAAGTACCATAAACGACACCAATATCCTGGAAATGAAAATAGAAGAAAATACATTTTTTGTGTATCAAGAATTTCTGAAAGACTTTATTGGAGTAAATTATCTCCAGCCATACCAGTATAACCCTGAACATTCAGGATTGAGTTGAAACTCTTCAGAATTGGATTCTGATGATGAAAACTGTCGTAGCCGACAAGACTGCAAGCATAACGACCAAGTTGGGAACCTAGAATGACGAGAACCATTTGTAATGTACAATCTGTGGATGTACCGCCTTTAAATAATTTCTGTTCTGGTATTCACAGGCAGCCGATAGGCATACCTGCATGATGAGAACGCTTTCATCTTATCCATATTAAAACTGTTATTCAAACACAGTGGATAACAGTGACATGTTACAAGGAAGTATTCAGTCAAACAGACCGAAAAGTTAATTCTGTACCAAACTTCCTATTTTACAGACGAGGAAGAAAACAAATACGGCTTCTTGATTTCATATAATATCGGCTTTTAAACAGAGAAGTTTCTCTTTTGGATCTTCTGCTCAGCTGCTGAAATTTATACTCTCCGTAATTTGAAGCATTTTTGTTACAGGTGTTGATTCATTGGGTAAGAACATTTTATGAATTACATTTTTTTTAGCAACGTTTAAAGTAATAAATTACTTTTTTGCCATTAAAAAATTGTTGAAATTAGAGTGATGAACTATATTTGACTTTGCTTGGATGTTTTTCATTTAGTTTAACCACTTCTGAGAAAGAGCCTTTGATTTCCATCCTTTCTAACACAGTACTGTCGGTATATTCTTGTTTATAAAATGTCAGTTTTAATTTGCTGCCAAATAATTTATCCAAAAGAGACTTGGATTTAAAAACTGAAAAGTGTTTTTCTGAAATCTTCTCCAATTTTACAGACGAAGGACGACTATCAGTCTGATGGCGGCTCTGACTGAGAACATGCTGACAGTCAACATGTTACTGATTGTCTTCTTTCTACCAGATGAGATGTTTGTTCACTTCCTTTCATTTGGAGAATGTGAGACATCACATGAAACATTTCTTGTCTAAAATATTTAATCCTGTTTAAAGTCTCCAAATGTAACATGATGCAGCTAATTTGGAGTTTGTGGATCATGAAGTTTTCCTGTTGGCAGATTTTGCTCTTTATATTCATTATTGATCTGCTTTACAGGTGCTTTCGCTGACAACTGTGGTTTCATAAGACTACCTCTCGTCATCACTACGCCACATAACATGGAAGCTCTAAATGGATCTTGTTTGCAAATCCAATGTACCTATGACACAAAATATTTTGGATATGACAGCAGTAAAACTATTTATGGAATTTGGATGAAAGGTGGTGTAAATTTTGTGTCCAATCCAAGCATCGTTATTTTCAACAGCAGTGGGTCAATTAACAAATATTCACTGAATATGACTGGAAACCTGAAAGAGAAAAACTGCACCACTCTGTTTCCTGATATACAAACAAGTCATGCAGACAAATATTACTTCAGAGTTGAGAACGGTGGCTATTTGGCAACAGCTTGTGCTGATCCTCTTCAAATAAAAGTTAAAGGTAAGAACATTTTCACCATATAATGACATTATATGAAGATGTTCTGGTTATATTGTTAAGCTTGCGTACTACAAGTATATTTAATCTTTTTAAATTGTAGCTTTTAAAACCTTCTGTCACAATATGCTTTTATAGCCACTGCAAGAAGAGCTGACCAGTTTGATCTTTAATTCATTAGTTTGTGGCATTTTAATGTTTACATTAAGCTTTTCTGGAAATATATTAAGATATGCTCCAAATATTTATTATTTTATTAATGTAAGGCCAGAAAGTATCAGTTAACTTTAAGAAATATTGACTCAGGGTGTTGCAGATATAGACGTCATAGTTCTTTTGCTTGGAACAATTGAACAGTTTTGG